GAAGTCGCGGGTGGCCGCTAGTTAAATTATATGATGTTAAGAAACGAACATACAACATTTTTATATGACAATTCATAGCCTACGGTGGAATTTTACCGCACATGTGCTGCAGATATTCGCGTCAGCCGAACTTTATTTGGCTTTTTTGTGGGAAGGAAGCAGCTAATAATTCAATACCATGCGAGATTTCAATTGCACAACTTTCATTTCTATATACACTGAGTAAAAATTCACCTGATGTAATTAGTGAGATCTAAGTTGTGGTCTAGACAAATATCCCTTACCGTCTAACTTTAAAAAGATATTTACCATCCTTAATAGACTTCTTCTTCATAATAGCGTCTTTTCTGCAAACGTATACTTCATGTCTATTTTGCGTTCTCGGGATTGTAATCCTGACATCTCAGCTCCCCTAATCCCGCCCCCTTTAGTCCGTTATACACTTTGATATTCCTACAGGTCTGGATCATCTCGATATTCCTGCAAGTCTCGGTCTGCGGACAAACCAGGTGTGTTCATTGTATGGCAACGATCTTTGCAATGTAGCATGATGTAAACTTTCGTCTCCTTTTCAGCCATACTCTGGACAAAGGGTGTTTAGTATTTGGCATATTAAATCTTTTGTCTCATTCTTGCATCACCTCTCTCGCTCTCTTCCGGCTGTGTATGTGAACCGCGACAAGTGATCTCGCACATTATTATTGATTAAATTAGAATATCTTAATATTAGTCTACAAAAACATGTGCATCATAATTGTTAACAGTTACTACAACAAATATAGTGATTTTGGTGAGAAACGTGATTTAATTTAGCTATACCAAACAAAGGGCTTTTTTCAGAAGAGGCAAATTTTATAAAGGTATCTATTTAAGCATCAGCGCTTAGTCCTGAAGCTAAGGCTTCTGCTAAAAATAATTTTCGTGGTCATATGTGGGCACATTTTTTATAAAAAATGTTGTTGTACAGATAGTTATTTTTCTATAGGATTATACTATTGATGAAACAACGCGGCCTTAGTATATGTGTTAACTCTCCTCTATTTCTAAATTCTTTCTCACAGTCCTAAATTTGCTTATTATTGCTGCTTTTATAATTATTATAATAAAAAGTCCATAACTGAAGTTTGCATTTCTAATTATTATGGGTCTATCTTAGGTGTGGCCTTTCTGCAATACTGGTTTGCTCGCAGCCGTTCAGTCTGGTCCAGTAATCTTCCAGTAAACTTCATTAGTGTCGGAAATTTATAAATATCTTTCACATTCCGAACTGGTAAACAGTTAACAGTTAACGGAATGTATAATATGTGGAAATAATAGGTCTTTACGTATCAAATTGTCGTTCTGCCGTACTGGCTAATCATGTCCAATATTTTTCTTTTTTCGCTAACAATTCCCAAACTATTTTTCTTTATAAAATGAAGAGAGATTCTTCTTTGAAAATAAGTCAACCGTCAAACAAATGGTTTGACGGTTTAATTTTTAGCGTTCTGTTTTTAGTGTATTTGTACGTATTTCGTCATCATGGGTACATTAAAAATTGGAGTGATAAAGGAGTATGAGGACCGTCGCGTCGTGGCAACAAAGCGGCAGAAGCGGCACGCAATATTAACGACGTATACGGAGCAAATACTAATTACGATCGCACCAACCGTTATTGGTTTTAACCGTGGTTGTTATAAGAATTGAACGCCGTGATCGACCAAAAACTTTAGTAGACAATGACGAATTTAAGGCGATTGTGGAAGCTGATAATTCTCAATCTACACCTGAATTAGCAGCGGCTTTCGATGTTAGCATCTCAACAATATGCGTAGAATTAGGTAAAAAAGCTTGACAAATGGGTGCCCCGCGAATTGAATGATCACCAGCGCCTAGTACGCGTCGAGTCGAGCCTTGCACTGTTTAACAGGCACACAAGCGAAGGCATATTAAATCGCAATGTTACTTGCGAAGAAAAATGGATTCTGTTCGACAATTGCAGGCGCTCAGTAAGTTGGTTAGATCCTGGTTCAGCACCTAAACAATGTCCCAAACGAAAACTGACCCCTAAAAAGTGATGATCACTTTTTGGTGGTCTAGCGTCGCCAGTGTCATTCATCACAGTTTCTTACCAAACGGGATGAGCATTACTGCAGATATGTACTGCGAAGAACTGAACACAATTATGGATAAACTCGCACATCTCCAACCAGCTTTGGTTAATCGTTCCGCTCCGCTGTTTCTGCACGACAACGCGTGACCTCATACTGCACAATAGACGATTTCTAAGTTACAAGAGCTGGTGTAGGAAGTTATCCGGCATCCAACGTACTCACCAGAGCTCTGCCCTATAGACTTCTACTTTTTCCAGAATTTGGATAACTTCTTAGCGGGGAAAAAAATCAATAACCGAGAGGCAGTTCAAAATGCCTGAAGAATTTGTTGCCACCCGTCCTGCAGACTTTTTCAAAAAGTGCATCAATAAGCTACCACTACGTTGGCTAAAATGCATTGATTGCATGGGTCATTATTTTGATCAATAAAAAAAAATGTAGAAAAAGGGGTGTTAATTTATTTCATGGAAAACGGCAATTTCATAGGTCTTTACCTATGAAATACCTACCTAATAGGTACGAGTAAATAAAAAAATACCAACCACCATGCAAAGGCTTTGGCATTTCCCCATTATCTCAACGAGCAGTTTGTTTCGGGAATTTATCACAACGAAATTGGCAAGTTCATTCAATACCCAATTACGAATCAATGGCCTTTCAAAACAATTCAGGAGAGTCAATGAACACGAACAGTCAGTTAACTATTTATTTGAAAGTAATATTTTAATATATATATATATATATATATATATCTGAAATTATCCTTATGTCTTGAATAGAACAAGATTGCTTTTCACGCCGTTTCCAAGGAGATGTGAGATCTGGATTAAAACACCGAATAAGCAACAAAGGATGTCTTAGCTTTTAATATGCAACGAAATTCTTGTCGATATTTATATACCTTCTCATGTTAGGCCTTTGTAGATTTAAAATTTCATTGCACTTTATACCAAGGCCTAGTTGATAATTTGTCTTTGGACATAAATAGCAATAAAATAAATTATCATAACACAAGACATCAATATCCCTGATATTCCAGATTCAAACCGAGTAGGTTTTTGTAGATTTTAGAATCAGGCTTTCCGATCGCTCGAATAGCGCGCCATCAAATATTAAAGGCAACATTGAATAGGCGGCCATAAAATGAAAGTACGGATGGTAAAATATGTGCGAATGGCCACAATAACTAACGCAGCAAAATATGAGTGGTCTCCAGGGACAAATTGAAGTACGCTGCGGACCCCTTTGCCGTATATTTATTGCAATTTTTGTACTGTTAACCTCTCGTGTGGACGAATTTTACCACTGAAATTGCTCGTATATTCTTTTGAGTACGCGCTTAATTATCCGCATTGTTTTGTTTTTTGCTGCCTTGTAAAGCAGCGTCTGATATATTAATGTCAACAAAGAAGCTATGAGGCTTTTTATGTTTTTGAATTAAACGCAGCGGTAAAGTTAATTTTTTGTTAAATTTTGCTGTTTAGGAATGTAATTTAAAACATTCTTCTTTTGAGAATCATTTTTTCTGTTTCATTTCTTTGTTAGAATACAACTTTATGTTTAATGATATGTGCCAGTCGAATTTGTTTGTGAAGTTGTGAACTTTTTAATTTCTAACAATTTATGGAGCGACAAGTAGATCTTCAAAATACAATTATGTATATTATTTTAAACCCATTGTCACTTACATTATTGTGATTTTTGTTATATACAGGATTGCTGCTTGTTTTAGCGAGTTTCCGATATTTCGGCACTGTTCCAAATACAATTATGTACTATTTGCAACTACACCGATAAAGTTCATCTTCACTCCAAACAAAGAAAATGGAAAATTATTACAGGAGACTTCCACAGTTACCCATTACCGGCGAAAATCGACTGTTTGTCGTCGACGCGCCCCGGCCATTTAATCAGAACGAAATGGCATCTTAGGAAATTCAGCACGCCATATTTCGCGACGAGAGCATAGTGATTGTGGAATACGCGTTTTTCCTCTTTAATATTTTTATTGTAGGTTACTTCTACTCATTCGCAAGCATTAACTCTTTAAGACAGGCTAATTTTAAGTTCATTCATGAAGAAAATTCGTAGTACTAGGTAATTGGAGTTTATAACTCTTGCGGTCTTGTGTTTGAGTGTGTCCTTATTGTGTTATCCTAAAATCACGTGTCGTTTCTTAGTGATTTTTTGCCATAACACAATATTTTATATGAAATTGACATAATATAAGTTTCTGTTATATATATAATGTAATTACGTAAGGTCGTTACATTTTACTATTTAAGTATATTCTAGATTATTCTCATATTAAGTGGAGATTAAGGCGCTTCCATCGGTGCCACAGCTTCATTCAATAATTCAAAAGTACCAGAGTAATTATTTACCAGTGACATCGCATCATTCACGTCACGCTCAGCTATAATGAAAATAAACTCCGCAACTATCCAATGAGATTAGTTGCCACTATAAATAGGGATTAATGAGGTTTAATTATATAGCCTTTTTGCTGGACAGTTGGGGCTTTCCGGACACGTCCACAGAATACGCCGCGAATACAACAGTCGGCTCCCAAACTTCCCACGTTCATCAGCCCGGCTTACATAGGACTTGCGAGATATATTAATATTTTTCCTTTACGCTGTAATAATGGCATTCTTTTTGAAAGTTTTCCCGAACATTATTGTCATATTTAGGTGAGAAAAAATTGTGTTATATTGCATTAAATTAAGAATTATAAGTAGCTTCAATACAAATCCAAAGATTTTTGTTTAAATCTAAGTACCTAAACAAAAGTCTTTGGATAAAGGCAGTTTTTTTCTTGATGTTTTTTAAAAATAAAACTCTTACTTTATTCTTTTCTTATAACTTGAAACTGTTTTTTTTTTCTTAAAAGATTTTAGTCAACCCTTTTTAAACCCCAGCCAACTCATTGGGTAGACAAAATTGTTTGTTCCCAGGAATAGTGTAAGTTGTAGTGTAGGTATTTTTCATGCTGCTGTAGTGCCTACTTTATTATGTCCACGACTATAGGTATACCACTTAACTGAGTCCTCGCCAGCGGGGTAAAAGGTGTGGGGGAGGACGACAACGGACAAAATATTTAATACCTCACGTTTTATTTTTAGATTCATTCAATTAATGTCGATGTATCTGATGAAAAAAAACAGATCCCACGAAGAGTACACTGAAGCTATTTTTAACTTCTATTTTAGTCCCAGGATACATTTTGTTTGGAAGAGGGGCAGACAGTTCAATCTATACCTACCTACCTGTTGTTTAGCACGGCCTCATAAATACTTGGTACCGGCGCAATAAATTTTAGCCTTGATCAAAAACGGAGGAGATTGTATTACTAGTGAATATTAAATCATGGATAACATTACATGGATCAAGTTTCCCAAAACTGACTAATTTTTTCAACCAGGTTTAAGAGCTTTATCTAGCTTTATTCATTCAATTGTGAATTTTTGGACTTAAAGTAACTTGATGTGATGTTGGTACAGAATTACACAAATACTTATCATATCCAGTTTGTCCTGTTCTCGTGGCAAGAAGCTAAAACATTCATATAAGTACCTACTTTTTACGTAGAACAAAGAATGAAGAAGGGTTTTTTTTTCTTTTGAATATGATGTTATTTTTTTTAAACTACGTAATGATTCCTCGTCAATTTGTCTGCATAGAATTATCGATTGTCCATACCTATAAATTTATTTCGCGTTGATATCTATATATTTATTTACTTACATTATTCAATTTCATGGCTTAATAACATGATCTCTAAAGGCTCCCATACAAAACTGCGATGCGATGTCACATCGCAAGTTTCTGTGATTGAATTGAATTGCTGCGATGCAAATCTGTGCCAATCTGTGCAGCAATACCTTCAACGGTAGTCAGCCGTATTGGACATGTTATAGTAATAGTGACATGGATCGCAATAAGATTATTGCACTGCTGTTATTGTTAAAAGGATATAGAAGAAAAAGAAGATTTTGGGTTCATCCATTTATTACGCTTATGAACGCTGATAGAACTATTTTAATCGAATACTATGGTTTGAAAACAGAAGAAGATTTTTTTATTATTATTTTAGAATGAGCATATCTTCATTTGCTGAAGTTTTAAGTTTATTATCACCTTGTCTACAAAAATTATCGTACCAGGGAAATCTCCGAGCGAACTAAAATGGTGTCAAGTGTGACGTAATATCTCAGAAATATGCGTGATCGCACTAAAGTCTCATTAGAACACATTGACTGAATCACGAGATTGACCACTTGTGTGAATGAACGATACTTTGAATTTGTTAAATTGTTCCGTGGTACAGTGCTACACCGTTCCTTGGGAGGCTTAACTATTCCTAAACTATGCGGTCAACCGCCATAACTCACTCGAGCCAAACAGTACTATTAGCGAACGGATACGACCTTTTTACCAAAGTGGAAACTCGTTGTACTTTACTAATTCCGTCAGAATCAACCTTTGATCTAATCTGAATGGTATTAAAAGTTGTATAGTTCATTATAAAGTTTAATGTTAATTCGAAAACAGTTACGCTTATGAAATGTGCCTTACTTGTATATAAATAAATATGGTTTAAATCTTTAAATGCATCAGCCAGCTACTAAACATCCTTTATTATATACTAAACCAGTGTAAGTCTATCGAGGTATTCAATTATAACATAATCTTGATAGACCATTCTCAATTACGACAATTGAGCTAGCTGATACTGTTAATACAACCAAAGTAAATTATGAATAATGATGTGTAAATTCAAATGAATGACAGTATCAGAATTTAGTGTCGGAAACTTTCTTTTTTTTATGCTTTAAAAGAGTACTGGCTTCAATTTGCCAGTGTTATAGTGATAATATTAAATATACTTATGATACAAATATCCATTTCTTAGGCCCAGTTGTTTGATACAGTTAAATTTAACTAAGTATTAGTCAATGTCAAGGCAAGTTTCTAAGACCTAGTTGTTTGATATAGTTAAATGTAACTATTAGTCAATGTCAAGTCAAATACATAGTACAATGTAGTCAGTAAATGGTTTCTGTTACCAATGTATATTACAACTTTAGTCACATTTAACTATGTATCAACGAACGGGTCCTAAGACTGCCTTGTTTCATCCATAGTTAAAGTTGTCAAATTTCAACAAATGGATTTTTTTTCTCTAGTATTTTAGCTATAGTCAAATTTAACTATAAATGAAACAAGGCGGCCTTAGTAAGCAACTTTACTCTCTGGTTGTTTGATTTCTTAGGGCCCAACACTAGAAACAAAATTTTAAATTAATTTCAAATAATGAATAATCAACGTTCTAATTATGAATATCTTAAAATAAGTGGAGCTTTCCATTAATTTCCACCTTCTTAATTAATTACTCAACGAAATGATAATAAATGTATACCTACTCTAAATAAATGTTCCAAAAGATTGTTTAGCCTACGTTGTTTATAAGATTTCATAATAAAGAGAGGAGTTTTACTCAATATATAAATAGTTAATATTATATATTTGTTATTCAGTGACGTACGAATGCCGGTCCAATTTGAAGAATTTATTTCTTATTAGTAACTTATTGCTTAAATGAGTTAGTCACATCGTAGCGACTACGTTGTACATATTCTCATCTGTATGGGCTTCTAAGGCATGCAACTTATAGTGGATTTCGACAAGGAATTCTGCTTACGGCTCGCCGCAGCAATTTCAGCTATGCCTCATTTAATTAGTAGAGCATTTGTAGGTATATCTAAGTCACTTGATTCTTTAGCACCAACAATAAATTATATCGTAATAACGAGTATAATATTAATACTTACTTGAAAAACATTTGTGCCTTAATAGTAAGTCGATTTTAGCTTAATCAACTTTTGGATCAGCGCTGTACCCGATTCCTATTTGGGAGTACAAGAAAACTTAATATGTCAACCTAAATAAACCTTTAAAGGGCTTTTTAGGTAGTATTTTTCTTGTATCGTTACCAGTGAAACTTTGTTTGTTGACATCATCATTTCAGAAGAGAATTTTTCGTACCTAATTGAATACTTCCTCCTCAGCCTCCCTCGTTTGACTGTTGAGAGGTCGTTGAATAATTAAAAATCGGTTTTTCTGCGTAAAAATTTCTTCCGCACAGGATTAATTCACGTTCTGAATCATGAAGTGTTTTTTCCGCTCAAAGCCCGCTAAAACATTTTCCTTTTAATAAATAAACGCTTTTTAAGAGATGCTTGTTTTGTACGACTCCTAACAGCGCGCAGTTGTTTAAATTTAAAAGCTTACAAATTATGTGATGACACGAATTTATATCTAAAGAAAATATATCTAGAAAAAAATCCGCGTGGACCAGGCAGCAGACGGGACTCGAACCCGCACCCTTCGCTATCCGGGCGAATGCACTGGCCAATTATTAAATTTATTTATTTATTTTGTACACATACAATAAAATATTATTAATGTAATTAAAATATAACTAATTTCTATGTTTCATACTTTCGTTCATTGCTGTTTGCCTTTGCCAGTACTTACACATGCTGTCGTGTGTGGTACGTGTGCTGTGTGCTGTCGAATTAATCTGTAAGTGAACTTATTAGGTTTGTATTTTATTAATTTTGCACATTTTTATCGAATTCTTGTACATGAGATATAAATAATCGTAATAATGAAAGGTGGTGTTCTTCAATGCTTCTAAGAAATCACATTTATTTATGAAAACGGAAGACATCTAGTATAAATAGTCTTCAATGTGTCAATATGTTATAGAGAAACATCGAATGTGATGTCATTAAGGAATAACCAATTTATTTATATAAATACTTTTGATCTGCCATCTCCGCAAGGGATATACGCGTTATGTATAAAAACCAATCATCTCCATACACAGCTGAAAACTTTTACATAATATTATGAGAAGAAAGGTCGCCCCACATAACGCCAATCGTTTACCCGATTCAAGGAGTCGCTGGATCTTACGATCTCCCTTTTGCATGCATAATGTGTAAGCGCTCAAATATCTTCCTTGGCTAAAGTAATAAAGTCACAGTGTCGGTTGGGCCGAATTACACCGCCTTATAATCTGAACGCCGTCAGACGAAATATACTGCATTTGTTAAGATTATCCTTCCATAACGACGATATAAAGTCGGCGGAATGGCGGTATCGCACTTATAAGCTGTTTATTTATTATTTTCGTGTTGTCTTGTACTGTGGTTGTAGGAAATATCTGACAAGCCTATTTATAACTTATTTTGCCATTGATCATAATAATGTTAAAGTAAAGATAATTCATATTGTAATTTCCACTTAGATCTAACCGATGAAATTTAAACAATTTATATTCATATTAACAAGGTTTTTAGTAAATGGTCTTTCGTTTTAATGCTGACCAACATTTATATGGTGTTTGTACAGACGGGCAAACATGAGGTATTAACGAACTGTTCCAATTTCTTAATAGTTTGCGAGTCTAGCATCAAGCAAAATAAAGCTCAGTCAGATGGAGAAATTACACAGTTTTAGTTAACTGAACTGACACTTTGCATACATAGTATCCCTTGCAAGGTTGGCAGACTAACAAAGATTTTGCTTGTGATTAAAAATATGTGCGGACATCTCAGTACAACTTAACGATGCCATATTGGTATTGGTGACGTTTAAGTTATTGTTCCTGTATTATACCATTTTCGTAGATTTTCATATTTATTACTAGTTATGTCAAATACGGCAGGTACCTACAATTCATTATGATTTAATTTGTGTTGTATTAATTTAATTCTTATAAAAACTCTCACTCGCGACTCCTTCCGGTGTACTTAGTCGGGATCTTCTAGCATAAAGAATTCTCTTTTAATTTTATATCACGTGTGTCAAATTTCGTATGAAATAGTTCAATCCCCTTATAACAGAAAGAAGACCAGGAACGGATCTGATTTCGATATCCACACTTTTTCTTTGTCAGTCCCCAACAAGTAACATTCACAAAGCAAAAAAAAAAGAATTCGAAAAGGTTTGCAAACAGTTTTAATAATGGAGCCGCTGTTCTAGAGCGATTTAGTATTAATAAACAAATCATATTTCACAAAATCGTAAAATACAGTCGGTTTTCGGTTATTAATTTTTTTACAAGTAGGCTTTAATTAATAAGAGTTTACACTTACTTATATGAGTGATATTATAATATTACCTAGTAAATTTGTTTTCAATCTTCACTAACGTGGTTATGAATATAACATTGGTTAGTCGAGTTTCTCTCTCAAGTTTGGATCTGAGTAAATTGCTAAGTTTAACCCAGGTGGGTAGTGTTGAAATCTCTCTGATGCGAATTTTACGACCACATCAACATTATCAGGCCATCAATCTCCTAAGTTACGCTAGTTAAGCTCTGAACACTGTTTTAAAATCAGTCACTATATCTAAATAATCTAACTTAGCTGAAATATCAACTCAATTTTTGAGACCTTTTATAAAGTTTTTTATATTTTATTGATAGATAACTTAAACATCCTGAAAAACATTATGATTACGTTGAAGGATTACAGTAACGATAGTTTTTAAGTAAAACTGGGCCCTTGAACACTCTTCTCATTTCTTTACATTAAATATTGAAAGAAGTTATAAGCCGGATGAAAAAGAAGAGGGTGATTAATCATCGAAAGCGTCTGAGAAACGATCACTAGCCATATAGTAATAATTATAGCTATTAACGGGATTGTTACCTTGTTTTTTATGTGTCTCCGATATTTCGGCACTGTTGCAAGCGCCATGATCACGGAGTAACTCAGTAACGTAGTTACTCCGTGAATAGCTAATACAATCCCGTTAATAGCTATAATGTTAGTGACCATGGAAGTTTAAAACAATATAGTAATAATTTTTCATTTTTATAGCTCATTTTTTATATTTGGTTTTCTATCCGAAAGATATATGATAATGGTGTCTTTTGTACGAAAGTTTATATCATAGCCTGCTTATGAAGTATATCTATTTAATCGCATGGACATTTTTTGTAGACGACTTTTTGAATTTAGGAAATCAGCTCGAAAATTTATTGTACGGCGGCGGTCAGAAAATATTTACCAGTTTTGAAATTAGATTCTATGTTTCACTTTTTTCACTAAAGTCTAAAATGCCATACTAAGTAACTTATTACCTTTCAAAAGTTATTATGCAATATGACGCATCAAGAATAACAAAAAGAATTATATATAACTTTTTGATATTGAAACTCATTTCTTTATTTGTTGAAATGACATTTATAAAAAAATGATTGTTTGAACATTGTTTGGACACGAGTAAAATTTTACGAATAATATTTTCATACCGAAATAAAATGACAAGTTTGACCCTGGAGCAAATGGCTGAAATAATATTTCTTTTCAAAGATGGACAAGTATTAGAGATATATCGCGATTCACTGTGGGGTTTTGGATCCCGCGTCACGGCGAACAGGGGCACTTAACAGATCATAGAAATAATTCAGGACGACGACCAATTCTAACCGCTGCGCAAATAACAGTAATGATTCGTCGTTATGAAGAGAACGGTTTCACACCAACTAGTTATTTTGCTACTTTATATGATGTGAGTGCTCGGACGATCCTACCAGCTTTGCACAGTGCTGGACTACACTACAGACACATGCTATTAAAGTGGAGCTGAAACCTCACCACAGAACAGCCCGGCTTAACTTTGCGCGACAACATCATGATTTTGCTTGGTCGAATACTATGTTTACCGATGAAAAAACCTTTAAATCAAGCCAAATCGGAAGATTAACTTCATAGCGTTATAATCGAACTCGGTATGATGAAGCTCATATCGTGCCTCAAAACGAGTCAGGTCGCATAAAAGTAAACTTATGGGGGTGGATGAGCCTCGACGGTGTCGGAAAACTGGCGTCGTTAGAGAATAGGGCTACTTCCATTAATGATGCTGCCTACTGTGCGCGTAGTGTATCCTGCAACAGAATTCCCGCCCATTTCTTATGTTCAAGATAATGCACGGATACACACGGCCCGTGCTACTATGGCGTGGTTCAACATGCACCGTGACATTCGTTCCATTCAATGGCCCGCTCGGTCTGTTGATTTAAACCCTATTGAAAATTTATGGGGCTTATGGTTCAATGCTGGGACTGTTAAAATGAAAGGAACCCTCATGATCTTAGATCACACTGTGCTCTTGCATGGGATGATATTAGAGGGACCTATCTATGCGCGCATCTTGTTGCATCAATGCGAGATAGACTCATAGCTGCAGAGGGAGGTTATACTAGATATTAAATAAAGATTTTTGAAGTTTCGGTTTTATTATTTTTTCATATTCTTATTTAATAAACTACTTTCAATGGTTTTCTATATTTGTATGACGTCACGGCTAGTGGAGACTGCGCACGTCGCCTACTGCGCAACGAGTCGCGGGTTCACAACGCGGGTTACAGAACGAAATCCTAGTGTGATTTAGAACTTGTGACCTAAATGTGTGCATACAATTATGATCCTTAGGTGGTAAACATTTTCTGACCGCGACCGTATATTAAAAGTTTTTTAGTTCATGTTTTATAAATAAGTCTATTTAGTTTTCCATTAGCTTTGTCACTATTACCAATTTAGGACTTTTACTTCCAATTAGATTTGACAGCATACCAACCGTTGGTTGTAGTTGGTTTATCCTACTAACTAGTTTTAAACTACATACAGTTGGTATTTTATTCGTCCAAATCGTCGAAAGATTTCTAAATATTACATACCTCAACCATAAGTCCTCAAGTTGAACATGTAAACGGCAGTGCACCACATAAATCACGAAGTTGAGGAAGCGGCGGCTTAACATCAGTTCTCAAACAAAGCCAGCAGCTGCCGACTGGCAAACGAAAGAAATTTCATAGTATACAACCCCCATTGCTAGGAGCCGATTGTTTTTATATCATTATGATTACCTACGTAATTTTATATTCTGATCGAAAATTTTAGATTAAGGGAGATTCGTCTCTACAGGATCAGATTCCTTGATCACATTTCCATTGCCTTGTTATTTCGATAAAATTGAGTTGATGGTAGATTTAAAAAAAAATACGTTGCCCAAAATATATAATCTTTTGTTTTTATAACATTTAAATAAGTTTTCGAACACCTAATGTTATGCAATTTTTTAAAGAACTAATAAATGAACAATTATTTTTGAATAATCTGCAGAGTAAGTAACTGTCTGTTATTTTCTTGTAACTTATTACATCCTGCGTTTGATTTATTATATAATTAGTGTTTTGTCACACGTTGGAAGGGAAACGGCAGTTCATATGCGAAGTTCCTGTTTCCTGCTGCGTTTGCTTCTTGATAATGCATGCTTCGGCACTCCCGCTGTGCTCG